ACATGGCTCAGATTTGACCCTGCTGTGGAGACACCTTCCTGTGTGAAACATTCACATTTCACCTTTATGTTACATGCAATGTAAAATTACAAGCCTGGCCCACCCTCCTCTGAAGACTTGGGGATAAGACAGTCAGTAGTGCAGCTCTGGAATTCTTAGGATAGAGACAGTAAAAAAAAAAAAAAAAAAAAAAAAAAAAAAAAAAGCCTCAGCATTATGGTGAGGTAATCCCAGGATCCTTGTTATTCCCGTTCTTCACAACTGGAAAATAACTGTCACTGGTGAAATCACAGTTGCTGCTACTCTGCAGTAAAAAGAGAGGAAGTTAATCCATGGTACATCAGTGCAGGGAACTGGGAGGAAAGTCCTGGTCCCTGAACCTCACTGTGCATGTAAGGAGGCAGTTTGCCTGGAACTCAGGGCCAGTTAGTTGTTCTGTAATTTGTTCATTCAACCTGTCATCCCTGGGATGTCAGGTTGTACATTAAATTTGAAGATGTCCTGTGTACTCATCCCTGGGATATGTAGTGGACAGAGGTGGACCTTGCCTGTCCTAGCGCTCACAGCCTAGCAGAAAGGACCCTTCATGGACCAGTCATTGAGTGCAGAAATTATAAACTAGAAAAAGTGTCTGGGCCAGAGGAGGATAAAGCAGACTGGGGAGAGGGGTGGGTGTTTAAGCAGAGGGTGAAAAAGTCAGGTATGAACTGTGGAGCTCTTGGGGTGGAGAGGAGAGTCCTCACCAGAGGCTGTGAGGCAGTGTTTGAGCTGCAGGATGAGTAGGTTTATAGGTTAGAGGTTGCCCTGGCAGATGCCATGAGAACTGGCTGTCATATTCCAAGTGGGAGATGATGGGAGCAGTAGCAAGAGATGTTTGAGAACACTTTAAAAACAAAATGGATAAGATCTGTTGCCAATTCCAGGGCTAGGGCTGGAGAAGACTTGGGGTAACCCCAGATTTGTGGCTGAGAGCCCCAATTCCTGAAGAAGCTGGGCCAGCCCCTGCCCTGCCCACGCACAGCCGAGTGTGTGGAGGGCAGAGCTGCTTCTCCTATCCTTGGCGCCGTCCATGAGGTGGCTCGCTTTTGTGTGGTAGTCAGCTCTGGCACAAGTGATGGTTACTGAGTTGCTCCTTTCCAGAGTGCTGGACAGTTTATCTTCTTGGAGGAGAATCTCCTCTCTATTAAGGAGGGTGCGAAAGGGAGGCTGTGCTGCCTGCTATGGTGAGAGGGTTTTTTTTTTAACTTCTGTTTACTCAGGAGAGAAAAGCAGCAAAGCTTTAAGAGCAGGAACCTTTAGAAAGGCGCAGCTGCTCTGATTAGTGTGGGAGCTGGAGCAGCAGCCAGGAAGTGGAGGTGACCAAGGTGGAGGAGGGGGTGCTGCTGAGCCACAGAGGCTTCCGGAGACCCAGGCAGGTTTGGTCATCTTCCTGGTGAATAAGACGGCATGATTCATTTTAAGTAAAAGGGAAAGACACTCTAATCTATTTATAACTAAACTTAGATTGGGTTATTTGCGATCAAAGTCGCCAAGTAGCGGGAAAAATACCAAAGGCACCTTACTGTTTGATTCTTTAGAAAGTCTCTGTGAGGGCCAGCGAGATAGCTCAGTAGTCTAAGCACCTGCCTGGAACATGCAAGGACCCGCATCGATCTCTGGTGCCACATGCCGTACTGGCTCCGCTGTGAGCCACTCACCAGAACCAGGCGTGTTGGCACATGCCTGTAATCCCAGCTCAGGGGAAGCTGAGACAGGAGAATCACTATGAGTCTGAGCTGAGTAGCAAGACCCTAGACCAAATAAATAAATGAACAAAAGATTTTTTTAAAAAATTTATTTAAAAAAATATATATATATAAATTTTTTTTGGCTTGCGACTCTTACCAGGCTTTGTTGTTCAGAGATCACTGTTTTTAAAAACTTTTTTTTTTTTTAGAATTATTTTTACTAGTGAAGGGGTAGAGAGAACTTGGTTTAGAGGAATGCCTACAGGAAACCCCAGTAGAGTGTATGTGAACCACATCTCACTACTTTAAGGGGACATTTGTTCCCAGTTCCCAGAACTTCAGTGGGCTTGTGATAAAATTTAGAGTTTCAGTAAACCTGGATGGAGAAGAAGATTGAATATTTTGATTGAGTTCCAATAAATGTAGTTTTTCTCTATGTTATTATGAAGTCTCAGAATACAGTAGCACTGGCAGTATTTTCCACCATTAGAAATTACAGCTCTTCATACTGGAGTTGTTGCAGAAATCTGAAAGTGTCATTTATATGCTTCACTACTTTGGATATGCAATGGCTTCTAGGTCCACTGTGGCGAAAGCCAGCACCTTCATAAATGTGACATAAAGCGCTGTATCTCAGATTGGCATTTTTAAAAATTTTGATAACTGTACTTCACTGTAGTCAGTTTTCTTTTTTATTCTGTATGTTATATATTTAAAAACATTCTGAGCAAGTTTATCAAGTTCCCAGCTGGCTAAAAAGATCCATGGCATATAGAAAGTGGCCAAGATCATGTAGTTCTGACCTGGGACCTCCACCTGGTGGCAGCACACTCCTTAAAGGTTAAATCTGTAATCAGCAGTTGAGAAGAAATTTTAAGTGTACTCGTGTGTGGTTTTCAAACATTTTTAGTACAGCCCACAATAAGAATTCAGCTTGCCGCCATATCAGTATACTCATGCTTATTTTTACAAGGCCCCTCTCAGCCTTGACACTAATTACAGCTGCGCATGGTGGTACACACCTGTAATCCCAGCCCTTAGGAAGCTGAGGCAGGAGGATCAGTTTGTGTTAGAGACCAGCCTGGGCTACATAAGTTCAAGAGCATAGCAAGACCTTATCTCAAAAATAAATAGAAAAATTACAAAAGCTATTCATGAAAAAGTGAGCAGTTGATTTTTTTTATTACATTGTAATATTCTCTTGATTCTTTCATTACAATAAAATTATAATTGCTACACACTGAATTGTACTTCAGTGGGCTGCAGTACGCTGACATCATATGAGTCCATAATTCCACACAGTTCAGAGACTTAATACCTACATTTTAAGTAACTACCAACAAATATAAATGCCTTTTATTTGAAATTATTACTAAGCTATAATTTATACACACATATATATTGAAAGGGACTGATATATAATGGATAATGCTTTTGAGATAAATTCATTTGACAATATCAGAAGTCTGAGGAGAGGTACTCCAGTGTGTAAATATACCATTTGTGTGTTCTGTTGATAGGCTGTAAAGTCATCATCAGTTCAGATTGTTATGAAAAATTTTCATGAACATCTTCATACATGTCTTTGTGTGCAAATAAGCTTTATATTGATTCATTCAGTAAACGAATTCAAGTTCACCTGTAAGAAAATGACAGACTTTTTGCCAGTGGGTTTTGTGAGAGCCTGGGCTGCTCAGGATCCTTACCCACACTCAGTGTTGAGTCAGTCTTCATTTCACTTAGCGTGATGAATATTGTAGCTGGATATCTTGGTGGTTGTCATTTGCACTTGTCTGATGGCTAATGATGTTAAACACATTTTTTCATGTACTTATTAACTATTCATTTATTTGTAAAGTCTGTTTAACAGAATTGTTTGTTTTTTCAGAATAATGTATGACTATTTTTATTTATTTATATTTTTATAAGTCTTTAAATAGCTTGAATACCAGTTCTTTATGTCAGATTTATTTATCTATTAATATATTTTTTCAATCTGAGGTATGCAGATCCACTTAACTAATGATATGTTTTTAGATGTGCACAAGTTTTTAAATTCCACATTGTTTATTTAAAATTTTTTTCTTCTTTAATATTTTCTAGATCCTGTTTAAGAAATCTTTTACTGCCCTAAAGATAAAAAAAATATAGGTTCTGGTGAAGCATGATGCTCTATGCCTGTAATCTCAGCACTCAAGAGACTAAGACAGGAAGATCACAGTGTATTCAAAACTAGCCTGAACTACATAGCATGACCCTGTCTCCAAAAGTAAAAGCAAAGAAAAAGAAAAAGGGAGAGAGGAAAGATGGGAGGAAGGGAGCAAGCAAGCAACCAGCTTGGTTTTGGCTTTTATGTTAAATCCTTAATTCATCTACAGTTAAGTACATACGATGTATATGATGTATATACATATACAATTAAGTAGATATGATGTATATACTGTATATGATTCCAATGTCAAGCTTCATTTTCTTTCTACATTTATATCTGTTGATCTAATACTTTTTGTTAAAACTATTTTCCTTTCACCTTTGAATTATAACATGGAATTTTTGGGGGAAAATTGTTTAGCTGAAGAGATACAAAAATGATGTTTCCTATAACCTGTAAACTGAGCCTCTGGGTCTCTGATACTCCTGATCTGTAATCTTTTCAGATTAATTTGGCCACACTTATGACTCTTATATTGCTTAGCACATGTGAGGATTATAAGGCTATAACTTTTCATGGGATTTGTAACTGTGGCTGTCCAGTATAGAGCCATTAGACTTATGAGGCTGTTTAGTTTAAAATTTGAATTTTCAGTCACAGTTTCCACATTCTGAGTGTCCTCATACTGCTTTTGGTGAGCCTACCCTTGAGCGGGCAAAGGTCCCCAAGTACCGGGTGGTGGAGGCTAGCCGTGTATGGTTTATTGTATGCTTAATGCAACAGCTTATATCTGTTCATTTCTATTTGGAAGAAAGATTTGCCTGAGCTATGCACAGAGTTAGTGTTTTCTGAAATGTATCTAGTCCTGACCTATTTTAACTTCTCTCGATACTGGGTAGGCTTCCTCTGTCATTGGGATATCTGCACACCCCCTTTCCACTATAAATGTTAAGCTCATGAAATAGTAGCCTATGACCTGTAACCCTGTCCCATATTAAGATTTCCATCCACTGGTGAACTCTGCTGTCATTTCATCATGAGCAGCCACATAGGAATTTGTGTGATTTTTCTCTCATTTACTGTGTAAACCACACACTGACTTTGCCTTTGGTATCTTTCAGTGCAGAGATTTTGCTGTCCTGGTAGATCTTCATGTATCACCACAAGGGTCAAACAAAGATACCAGCTGGTTTTCCGAACAGAAGAAAGAGGTACTGTTTAAATACAAATAGCTACACTTCCTAGACATATTAGTTCTTTCCTATTTTCATTTCCATTAGTGGGAGAAAGATTTGACTTATATTTAACCCTTTAAAATATTTGTTGTGTTTCCAGTGACAGACATATATGTAGCCGTTTGATTTCTCATCAGAAACTGATGTTTCCATGTGCCTTTTGTGCTGGTCTTTGGCCAACTGATGGATTTTGGTGCTAGGGATGGAACCCAGGGCCTTCCTATATATCAGGAAAGCACTCTACAGCTGACCTATATACTCATCCCAGACTGTTATTTAAACCCAAAATTTCTCACTCCTTTGTTTTGAGAGAAAGGGTCCTTTATATTAAGAAGGAAGAAGTTGAAGAAACTGTTCCAGCAAGCAGGAGTTCTGACGTGATTTGTTGGGAAGGGTGAAGGTGGTACCTGAAATAGATGTGGAGGCTAAAGTCCCTGTCTTAAATCCTCTCCTTTTATAGTCTGCTGTCCTTCTTGGTGGTGAACGAGAGACCAGTGAGGCAGTAGTTCCCTGTTCCCTCTTTTATACTGGTCAGTCAGGAGGGCAGATAGTTGGGTATGAATGTAAACTTGACCCTTGAACAACACAAGTTTGGACTGCATGGATCTAGTTATACACAGAATTTATTTTTGGAGATTTGTAATAGTTTGAAGAAAACTTATAAATCTTATATCCTAGAAACATTGGAAGAACTAAGAAAGAGTGGGATATATCTCGAGTGCATAAAATACATAAAGATATTAGTCTATTTTATCATTTCCTACTATAAAATATATATAAACCTTTTCTAAAGAGTTTGTCCAAAGTTATATACATCAACACAATGTGCATGGCACAATGTGTAGTTGCACCAGGTATTAATAAGTATAAAGATCAATTTTAAATTATAACTGCATAAGATTAACTATAGAACATATCATACTATATAATAATTTCATGTCATCAGTGCTTTTGTGGTGAGCTTAATGTTGCAGATATCTGAGTAATTGTAACATGAGTCAGTTTCACATGAGCAGTTAGTCTTTCCAGTAAGTCGCACATCAACATAGAATGTTTTTAACTGGACATAATGGCACATGCCTCTAACCTCAAGCCAAAGCAGGAGGATCACAAGTTTAAGGCCATCTTGCAGCTTAGCATGACCAAAATAAATTTTTTAAAAGGGCTGTGACTGTTGCTCAGTGGTTGGACTTGGTGATCATGTGTGAGTCCCTGGATTCAATCTCCAGTACCTGCCCCCATGATCTCTTATGGTTCTGTTTTCATCATGTATAATGCATGGAACATATAAAATATATATTAATTGACTGTCAGTGATAAAGCATCCAGTCAATAGCAGGCAATTAATAGTTAAGTTTCAGGGGAGTCAAAAGTTATACTTGGATTTCTATCTCTGCAGGTGATCAGGTCCCAAAGCCCCTGTGGTGTTCAGGTGTCATCTGTATGATCTTTGACCTTGCAGAGTAGCAGAGCTTCATCTTCGCATCTGCAAATGCAGGGGATTGGCCAGACACTGCCCGAGTCCCTTTTTGGTCCTGAACTGCTACGTTTTCACTGCTGTGCTTGAACCTTTTCAGGTGCATTTGATTCTCATCACAGACTTTGCTTCCTTTTCCAGATCTCTGCTTACCTTAAGTTAGGGGTAACCAAGCAATGGTTTTTATATAACTTTCAAAATACTGTATTTTGTTCCCTCTGTGATACTCATTTATACAATTACTTTTTAGAGCAAGAAATAAAAGTATATTTTATTAGAAAGCTAATATTACATGGAGAAGTTAGTAGCCAAAAAAAAAAAAAAAAAAAAAAATCTTTCCTGTCTTATAACTGTTTTCAGTTGGTTTTTAGAAGTCACTGTAAAATTCTCCTACCCTTCTCCTCCCTTGAAAATTGCTAAGTAATATTTTCAGTCAATAAGTCATATCATCAGGACTTTACTGTCATTAGTTTGCAAAGGATTCCTGGTGACCTGCAGCTGAGAAGGTAGACATCACTGTTAGCGTGATGGAATTTATCATTGTGGTAGTGCACTGTAGATTCTCCTCTCCAGGTCTTAGTATTTTGCAGGCCAGCATCTCGTACTGCCCCGCCCCTTCATAGAATTCCAGGCATTCACTTAGTGACACATGTCTGCATGATTCACATCAGTTCATTCATTTCACCAGAGTGAGTAATAGTTCACCCAGGAGGAATCTTACCCAGAAAGCTTCAGATCTGACTTATATCAAAGTTGTTCCAGAATGCACCATTCCAGGCTCAGATTTTCCTGTATTCTCCCTTAGTTTTACCATGTTGTGCTTATACCCATTGTGTTGATACTTAGTCAGTTTTGCCGAAGAGATAGTTGATGGGACTTCTTTTAGGGACGGGGCTATATGAATCACTTCCCAGGCAAAGCATGAGGCTGGAATTTTTCATTGTGCCATATACAACTACATCGCTCCACCTAGCACCTACTCAGGCATTGTTCCAAGAAGAACCTACTTCAGGGCAGCGAGACATGACTTAGCATGGATGTACCATGCAGGATCAGACCTGCAGCAGCAGCTGCACAGGTCTGGCCAGCAAGCTCAGTTTTCCTCTCAAAGAAAAGTAGATGGTTTGCTGCCTCAACTTTAAGTGCCTCCTTTAAAATATATGCTCACTGACACTGAAATTACCCTGGGATGCTTTGTGTATGCATCTATGAAAGGAGAAGAGCGCACTGAACATAGGTTATGACTTTACTCCGTGTTCAGTGTCTCAATGCTTTTATCATTTTTATCTTTAGATCATCTCATGATTGGGATTCCATGGGCAGCCAGTTTGATTGCATTTTAACAGTCACTTTATATAGTAAGAGCCTAAGAATATCCTGTTCCTGTTTGAAAAAGGAGCTAATTACATGTATTAAACATATGTTTATCTTGAGACCAGCACAAGTAGTCTTTGTACCCAAACAGTTGAACTCAAACTGTTCCACTTGGATTCTCAAAGAAGCAAGCATAGGCGCATTAGACTTATGAGATGCCATGTAAGATGCCACTCTGTCTTTGCACTGTCCCCCACATCTTGCCAGCAGCGCTTTTTATACACCACTCTGGCTCTGAAGAGGCTGCTTTGCAAAGTGTGGTGTAGTTAGTTACTGGTGTGTGTACCACCTTGCACCCTGACTGTCTTTTATTTGTGAGACTTACCCCAGGGAAGGAAAGCTTCATAACTATAGGAAGAAACTTTCTGCTATAAGCCTGTGCTCTATTTTTGTCATACTATTTTTAGTTCAAGCCTTATAGGGTATTTATGGCCAAATTTTAGCAATCCTTGTTTCCATGTATGTCTTTCACATATTTTCTAGCTCAGTCATACGTAAGCTCTGCATGTGAAGCAAAATTCTTTAATTGCTAAAACAGCAATACAAGTCAAGGCTGCCTTTCTGTTGTGTGAACAATGCCAAAACACTCAGCTGTAAACAGATACCTCTATTCCACGAGGCTCTGACTGTATCTTTGGACTGCAAAGTGAAAATCAGGAGAGAGGAGTGCAGTGTTTGTGTTTCATCTAGAAACTCCTTGTTGTGGAATAAATCAAGGGTTTTGCATACTGTTTGAGGTATACAGATGTTTGCAGTAAAGGAAGTCTTGCTGTGGTTGTTCTTCAGAGCAGCTTACAACTCTGTTCATGTTTTACTGTGTAAAGAATCTTAAGAGAAAACCTGAAATGACATTGCAAGAAACCAGCAAAACAGGTTTGAGGTGACCTGTGCAGCTCTTAGCCTTGCTGCAGCTTTCCTGAATTGGATTTATCCGTCTTTGGGTATCAGTTTTGTATGTAGTTTGCCCCACTTCCTACAGTAGTTTGCATTTTCATGGTAGTGCAGGAAACACCACACAGTATATCTTTCCAATGTGTGGTTGGGCTTTTGAATTTCTTGTTTATCTTTTTATAAAAATGACAAATATATGAGCCAGTTGACATATCTCTTAATGATAAAGCATGCTGAAACTGAATTAACACCTGCGTTTCTATTACCTTATAAATATTGAGCTAGAGTAATGAGAGAAGTTGAATTATATTCATCATTAGCAGATGTATATAACACAAGTTCAACAAAAGCCAGGGGACGTATACAGTGTCATCTGAAAAGAGTGTGAGAAAAAATTAGATTACCCATTTCCAGTTTTCTGTGTCACCCATTGCTCAGTGTTTTTCCTTCTTCAGTACCTGTGTAAACCTGAGGCCAGAAACAAATGAATAATGGTAATTAAAATTTTTAAATCAAATTTGAAGACTGGGAAGTTTTTATATAATTGCTGGCTCTTCTTGAACAGGTTGAAAGATCTGGCAACACCAAGCCTCTAAACAGAAAAGTGCTGTTATACCACGGGGATTGCCCCTGTGGTCTGGGTCCCCTGCCACCTGTGCCCACCCACAGGATATGAACTTGTTTTTACGCTGGCTGCTTCCCCAGACAGGCCACCAGGGGTGTGTTTGGGGGCCTTGCTCCCAGCCACCTTGGCCTAAGACATGTCTCTTCCATTCACAGTGTAACAACTGTTTGATATTTATGGGAATACATTTTTTTACCTCAGTGATTTTATTACCATGTCATCCTGAGTTTTATAGTGAATTAAGCTTTCTTATTTCTACCCTTGTAAAAAACATGAAACGAATTTCTCACATCACACCATGAAGCAACCTCATATTTTTTTAAATTTTATTGAGAAACAAATAGCAATGAGACAGTTTCAAAACAGATTAGTAGGACAGTTACAATAATTAATACATTATATATTGTTGTCTTCATAGTAGTTATTCACAGTACAAGATGCAAACATGATATCCTGTCTAAACACCATTATTACAAATCTTTCTTCTCATTGAATTAAGAGAAAGTAGCTGTATGTCCTATTTTGTATATACAAATACAAAATGGTCCTTCATTTATATCCCCTTTTTTTGTTTAGTTTTGTCAGAAATGGGTATTCCATTGCCATTTCAATATTGTAGGTGATTGAATTCAGCATAGATTAGAAGATGCAGAAGCCACTACAAACACACTCAGCCACATTGTCTTTGACAAAGGGGCCAAACATGCTTACTGAAAGAAAGATAGCCTCTTTAACAAATGGTGCTAGAAAAACTGGCTCTCTACATGCCAAAAACTAAAATTTGACCCAGGTCTATCACCATGCACTAAGCTAAAGTCAAAATGCATTAAAGATTTAAAACATTAAATCTCTTGTTGTTGTTGTTTTTTGTTTTGTTTTGTTTTGTTTTAATGTATTTAGTACAGAGACTTACTGTGCAGGTTGGACTCGTAGTGATCTTCCTGTTTTCAGCCTCTTCAGCACTAGGATTACAGGTGTGTGCCACCACCCCAGTATTCAGTTGCCAGCTCAGCACATCCGGAGGTGGGGCTGGCACAGCATGCAGGGATCCAACCCTGGGCCCAGTGCTTGCCTGAGCAAGCACTTAGTCCACTGAGCCATCTCACTGGTCCTTACAACATGGACAAACCTTCATAGCAAATTTACATCTGTGCTGTTACCCACAAATATGTAACATTCCTTTTCAACATTCATAGTTAAATTAAAAGGCAAAGTGTTGATTTTTTAATGTGTAAGATGTTAACTTTTGCATTGCGTTAAATTAGAAAGTTATATCCAGTTTTTTATTTACTTTAGGAAATCTGTTTGCTATTAAAAGAAACTATTGATTCAAGAGTTAAGGAGTACTTTGAAGTCCGTAAACAGCACAAGCCATCAAATACAGAATTCACAAGATCCTGTCCTTTGTCCTTAAAAGGTAAGCTTACAAAGCACTTTGATTTTGGATGGAGAAAACAGAATTTTTGCTTTGTGGAGATGGCAATTATATTTGCCTCTGTCATGTTAGTATAGTGATACATTTAAAAAGTATGTTGTAATGAAGATACTTTGTTTGGGTAAAGAAAATTAACCGAAAAGCCCTGAAGGGCTTTTAACAGTAGGCAAAATATATCAAAATAGCAAATGAAACATTCCTAAGGAAATTGTAAATTTTTTAAAGATTTTTTTATTTTGGACAAATAGTCTTATAAATGGATATGTTAATACTGACTTAGATTGACTTGGAGTTTTATACTTTCAAAAAAATGTTCATATATGCCATCCTATTTCTGAGGTTGTCAATTGGGTCGTTTTATCCACAGGGAATGCTTGATGATGATGTCTATAGACAGCTTGGGTTGTTGTAGCTGCCAAGGGTTGCACTGCTAGTGGCATGTAGTAGGTGTGGACCAGGGATGACACTGTGTACCTATAGCCTTTCACCACCTAAAGAATTAGCCCCAAAACATGAAGAGAACCAAAGTTGAGATATACATTCTGTTTCCTCACAACACAATGGCCGTATCTTTGAATTCTGAGTGAATAAGGCAAGAATCTGCAAGATTAAGTGTCTTCTCAAGTAACAGATCACCTTGTGGAAGACAGTCATTTATTTAGGATCATGTCCTCTTATTTTCTCCCTGGGCCCTAGCTCTTAACCCAGTGCCTAATGCTTACAAGTCACCATGTTACGCTGAAAGAGTGGTTAACTGATAAATGACAGAACCGAAACTCAGACCACAGTTGTGACTTCCACCTCGGTGTTCTTCCTCGTCAGTGTTGTGTTTTTAGTATTCTTTTTCTTTTTTAGGCCAGCATTTCATGGCACTCTTTGAAATACGGTCAAGCAGCATTAATTCTCAGTGGACAGTGGCAAGGCCACTGTGAGCCCTCACTATGCTAATATAATACCTCTTAGAAAAATACTGCATCAGGTACGCTCTGAAGGCCTCCTTGCTCCACAGTACTCACCCTGGCATAGATGGTATGTAGACGAGCTGAATAATTTTACTCAAGCCAAGTGGAATATTTCATCCAGACAGCATTGTATTGGATGATGCTTGTTAGTTTGTCACTAGCAGTACTGTGAATCTTGAGGAAAACTAAGAGTTTGCATCCTGCACACCCCACTAGACCTCACATGCCCTGTTTTCGGACTGTTTCAAAAGCAAGAGAACAGAGCAGGCTTGCAAGGCCTCTGTCTCCAGCGTGATCAGTTCTGTGGCTGGCTTGGTCAGTGCTAACTTTCAGCTAGCCCATCGTGGCCTCCCCTGACTGCAGCATGAAGGAGCTGTAGGCTTAACCTTCCCAGTCTTCCTCCCGGGGAGGGATCACAGTTCTCCCATCAAGGTGAAAAGCAAACCCTTTCCTAAGCTTTTTCTGGGAAGATTCTTGTTTTTAAACAGAAAAGTAGTCTGTCTGTACAAGCTTATAACCTATTTTTTCCCACCAAGTATGTATTACAAGTCTTTTCACATCGTACATGGCACCATTTTTAAAATCTTTTTTGTTGTGATAAAATGTATATAACATACAATTTGCCATTTTAGCCGTTCTAAATTGTACATGTTAACAGTGTGAAATAAATTTACTTTTTTTTTTCCTTGTGAGACAAAAAAGGGATTTATTTCACCATGCAGGTCAGGCTGGCCTGGGACTTACCGTATAGCCCAGGCTGGCCTCAATTTGCAGCCATCCTCCTGCTCCGGGTTCCTGAGTGCTGGCAATACAAGCTTATGCAACCATGCCTGGCACACTTACGTTGTTGTACAATCATTACTGTTACTTGTCTCCAAAACTTGTCATCCTGGACTGAATCTTCATAACCGTTAAATAGTAATTCCCCATTTTGTACTTTCCTGGCCTCTGGTAGCAAACATTCTAGTTTATGGCTCTGAGCATTTGAATTTTGAATTTTCTAGTTACCTTACATAAGTATAATTATACAAGATTTGCCCTTTTCTACCTGACTTATTTCATGTAGCATAATGTTTTCAAAGTTCCTATTTGTAGTGTTTATCAGAATTTTGTTTCTTTTTAAGTTCAGATGGTAGTCCATTGTAATATCCAGTGAATGCCTGCTGAATTTGTATTCAGTCATCTATCAGTGGACGCTTGGGGGTCCACTTATTTTTTAAAGATTGATTGATTGATTGATTGATTGATTGATTGATTTGGTACAGGATCTCACTATGCAGCTTGCACTCAGTGATCCTCCTGTCTCAGCCTCCCTGGCACTGAGATTACAGCCCTACACCACCATGCCCAGTTTTAGTGGCTGGCACGGCACAGGGCCAATGTGGCCTGCAGTACTGGGAATTGAACCCAGGTCCTTGTGCTTGCCTGTGCTTAGACCACCAAGCTATCTCCTGGGGCTGGGTTTCCACTTTTTGGCCATTGTGAATAAAACTGCTATAAACTTTAGATCATACATAATGCTCCGTTCAAGACTCTGCTTTTAGTCCTTTGGAATATAGACCTACAAGTAGAAATGCTGAATTATATGGTAATTCCATTCAGGTTTTTTGAGATACTGTATATTGTTTTCCATAGTGATTATGTCATTTCACGTTCACACCAACTATATGTGAGGGTTTTTCTCTACATTCATGCCAACAACTTAGTTTTTATTTTGGTAGTAGCTGTTCTTATATATGTGAAGCAGTATCTCAGTGTGATTTTGATTGGTATTTCCCTAATGAGTAGTCATGTTTGCTGTCTTGTCTTTGTCAACTGTTAGCATATCTTCTTTAGAGAAATGTCTGTGTTCTTCATTCATTTTTGTTGTTGTTTAATATTGAGAACTGAACTCAGGACCTTGTGCTTGTCAGTCAGGCACTTGTGCTACTGAACTATAACCCCAGACCCTCTTCAATTGGGTTGTTGGTTGATTGTTTTGAGCTGTAGAAGTTCTTTATATATTCTAAATATTCCTTATTGAACTTACGATTGGCAACTATTTTCTCCCATTCTGAGGTTTTTATTTTCATTTTCTTACAGTAAGCTGATACAAAAAAATCACTAACTTTAATACTGTAGCCACTTTATCTATTTCTTCTTCTATTTCCCTTACCGATGATGAGATATTTAGGAAATCATTGCTGAATCCAATGTCATCAAGTTTCCCTTAAATTTTCTTTCAAAAATAAAAGAAATTGTACATTAGCCTTTATAGCCAACCACTTATTCTACTTTGAGTTAATCTTGGTACAGGATTAAAGGTAAAAGCCTAACTTCATTCTTTTGCAGATGGTTTCTCTGTTTTCTTAGCACCACTTGTTGAAGAGACTATCCTTTCTTCATAGAACAGTCTTGGAATTCTTGCTGAAGATCATTGGCCTACATATATGATGGTTTATTGTTGGGTTTTCCATTCTTTTCCACTGGTCTGTATGTCTGTCCATATGCACTGTGAAACTAGCTATATTTTTAAATTTTTATTTTTTTAAAGAGAGTAAAAAATAGTATTAAAACTGCAAAATTACGAATGATACAGAATTTCCCTGAACAAAATATTATGAATTTCACAGTATTTGTTGCATTGCATAGTGTTGTCTTCACATTAATTGTTCATATTGCCAGATGTATGCATGCAAAATTGGAAGATGAAATATGCAAGAAATTAAGAAGAGAAAAAGGTCAAAGAATTCAGAAAAGGAGACAAAATCAATTAAGCATTAACTACTCCTTTCCATAGACCAGCAGAAATCCACAGTACAGTTGTCCAAGCCATCCTGCTTACATACAGACATATCTCTTTCCTCCACTTCCTCTCTTGTCCTTCTCATCAAGTTAATTCCTTCTTTTTGAACAGATTCATTCCCTTTTCCCAGAATCTGTTTTACCCCACAGATTTTTTTCTGTTTCAGGTTCTCACACTAAGGAGACAATGTTTACACATGCAGGTCTGATTTATTTCACTTCAGAGTGTGAACTCTAGTTGCATCCATTTACTGATAAATGCCTCAAATTGATCCTTTTTTATAGCTGAATAATACTCCATTGTTTTAAAATACCACATCTTCTTTATCCATTCCTTAGCTGATGGTCATTTGAGTTGTTTCCAAGATTTAACTAGGACAAATTATACTGCTATAAACATGGATGCACATATATTGCTGTGCTATGAGGTTTGTTTTCAGTTCTTTTGAAAAAAATAAAATAAAAGAGGAAGAAAGAAAGAAAGAAAGAAAGAAAGAAAGAAAGAAAGAAAGAAAAAAAAAAATACCCAGAAGGGGAATAGCAGCATTGAATGGAACCTCCAATCCTGCTTTTTCAAGTCATCTCCACACTGATCTCCGCTGTCCCTCTGACAGTGGCCTTCTATCCAGAACATATAAAGAATTTTTTTAAAAAATCAGGCCCTCTGTATTCAAAGACCCATTCTAAAAATGGGCACCTGAAATGAATATACATTTCTCAAATGAGGAAATACAAATGGCAAGAACATATATGAAAAAGTGTTCAACATCATTGGTCATTTCAGAAACGCAAATTTAAAACAACACTGAGATTCCGTGTAATGCCAGAAAGAATGGCTGACATCAAGAAGTCAGCCAATAACAAATGCTGGAGGGGCTGTGAGGAAAAAGGGACCCTTCTCCACTGTTGGTGGGAGTGCAGACTGGTATAACTACTGTGGAATTTGGCTTTTTAGTAAGTTTAGAACCCAGAAAGTATGAATCTTCCAGCTTTATTGTTCTTTTTCAAGACCACTTTGATTTTTCCAGGTGTGTGTAACCATTTTAATAACTGCATAGTATTGTTATCTTTCTATTGGTAGGATTTTTTTAGGTTATGTCTAATACTGTCACTGTGGATCTACTCACAGAAGTTTGTTTTTCAGTATGAATTTTTGAGAAGCTTTTTCATATGCACCAGACCACTGGACACTCAGAAAGTGTAATTTGATAGGTTTTGTGTCACCACCTGCCATGC